TGTCAATGCTGATTTCTCCCAATTTAAGATGATGCCTTACAGACAGGTTTTTCCACACACTGAAAGTGACATTACAGATAATTAACAACTAAAAAGGAAATGCTGGAAGGAACCCAGGCAACAATTAAAAATGATATATATAACAACAAAATTTCAGATTATTTTTTGGTGTTTTAGAATGATCTCCTATAAGCTATTAAAACTGCATTTAAATAAAATATCTCAGATCATCATACCATGTCATAATTATTAAACATTTTTCCTCCTACTCTGCCAAATGTCATGATTGATTAGACTCATTGTTCTTAGAAAGAAGCAGAATGCACTCATCAAGGCAAGCTGTACAAGTTCAAGCTATAACATAAAGGCATGGCTACCACATACATCATGTCCTACAAAATACAAATTTTGTCAACCATTTATCCTGGTAATTACAAAGTCTCAAAATTTACCTGACGTTGTCATGATGAGGATTAGAAGTGGCGGCAGCAGACCCACCACGCAACACAGGTCTAAGGTGGGTTTTTGCGGGAGAAGGCACAAGACAGAATCAGGAAACAGAGAGGTAATAAAATAAAAGCAAAAAGAAGACAAATAAATGTCAAATAGGATTATATTGTATGTTTCAATACAATATAATATCTAATACTTTAAAAATCTTTGTCTATGTCCTCCATTTTATGATTTTCAAAACTTTAACATTTTACAGTTGATTAAAAAAACAAAGACAATCTATATTTATGTGACAAAACAGCACCGATACATAAAATAATTATTTTTGGTGCTTATACCTTAATTTATGAAATTTAGAGGACAACTCTGTTTAAAAAGTGTAATTCCTCTCTTCTCGTTAGAAAAAACAGAATCACTACCAACTTTAAAAGCATGTAAGAACTGGTTAGTTGCACCTGCATGATTATGGTTGCTCATCTGACAACAGCTCTATCTCAAAAACTAAAAATTTTAAGAAAGTCCCATTACTCAAAATTCCTGCCCTCTCACCTCATTAATTCTGATTAGTGTGTGATGTCTCAATGTAGCTGAGTCTCACTCAAACTCTCAGCTCTCCAGAGCAAAAATATAAGCCTCAGTTCTGAAGCTGAGAAGATGAGAGGACATGCTACAGCACATGACAGGAAGTGCAATAAAAAATGTGAGTCTGATCTTGAGACAACCAGGAGTGACATACAGTGCTGCTGGAAAAGAGGACTAAGATGCTCTGGAAAACTGTGTGGGGAACTTCACTCAGTACACAATTTTGGTTCTAGAGGACAAGTAGTTTGGTTATCTACCTAGATAAGGAGTAACCTTTCCAATAAATTTTATTTTTCAAAATCAGAAAACAAAAGCTACATGTGTTCACTGGTCAATCCCCCCCAAAATAATCAGCAATATTTACTAACCAAAAAAAGGAGATTGGGTTATAGGATCCATATGAGGATTTTAAGAATTATTAAATCCTATTTTTTCAATATCTAATTCTCTAAGTAACTGATCTGGTTTTGCCTGAATTTAAGTATCAAGGCAATATTTAGTTACAGCAAATGTTTAATACCAAATGCACTATTTTTTTCTGTAAGTTGGCACAGCCGTACAATTCTGACTACAATACAAATCACTATTTTCTGACAACTCGAGTTATACCAGAAAACTTTAATGTTTAGCTTCTATATGTCCCAAAGGTGCTACTGGTACTTAAAGAAATTTCTGAAGCCTAGAGGATTAAGGGATTCCAAGACTTTTGGGAAAGACATGTTTGACTTTTATTTTGTTGACTAAAGAACACTGAGAAATCACATATGTTTGAGATGGGTTTTAAACTCATCCCATCCTATTTACTCTGTGGTATCAGGAAAACTTACTTAACTACAATCTTAAATTATACTAATATGAAAACGGTTAACTAAATGAAGCCACTGTTGTATGCTCCCTAAAACTTAAAAAAAAAAAGCATACTAATATGTTCAAATGGATCTGCTATATTCAGCATATTCCGCCAAGAGATTTCCCTTTTATAATGCAGAGCCAGAAAGTAATACAGTTACCTTTCACAACGTATTTCATTTTGTCTTCTCACACTGGCAATTGACACACATAATATAAAAGTAAATTAGACAGGTATTTGGCAAAGTTAGAAACTTCATTCAAGTACCACTTTCTACCATAAATATGATTTAATACGTATAAGAAGTCTTTCCAACAGCGTGTCTTGTAGAGTGGCAAAGCGAAGGAAATCCAAGGCTATCAAGTTCCAGCATTAACTTGTATACTGACATTTTTGGGTAACTATGTGCTCTGACTTAACTGAATATGTGTTTCTTTGCTACAAAAATATAAACTGCTATAATAAATAAACAGTTTGAGGGACCGGGAATTCACATTTGTTTAAAAGAAAAATTACAAAATAACAAATATTGCATCAACTGCAACTTTACATTTCTCCGTCTTCCAAGTTATGTATTTATAGGGATACTTGCCCAAATTATAAATTATTCACATATTGGTTTTTTATTCTATTCACTCAAAGTTAGCATAATCTGCCACGGAAAAATTGTATAATCAAGCCCGTCCTAAAAATAAAACTTAAGCATGACTCATCTATCAATAGTTCAATAATGCTATTACATAGGAACTAAGTTTCTTTTTTCTTTTTGTTTTTTTATTAGAGATGGGTCTCACATGCTGTTCAGACTGGAGTGCAGTGGCTATTCACCAGTGCCACCATAGTGCACTGCAGCCTTGAACTCCTGGCTTCAAGAGCTCCTCCTACTTCAGTCTCCCAGGTAGCTGGGACTATAATTGCATGCCACCACACCTGGCTTCTTTTTTAAAAATATTAATATTTTACACTGGGGAATGAGATACACAGCTACGACAGATGTAGGAAGACACGGGCATCTCCTAACCAGCAAAGGACCATATTGTAATAGCATTTTAAATCCCACTGCTACTGACCAAAGAATACACCTGGTGCTCATCCCAGGTGTTTTGGTAAATTTTCAACGTATCAGTTTTCCAAATGTATAGCACTAACCTGTGTTAATAAACTCCTAATGTGTACCTAGGATTTAACTTGGTTTTCACGTTGAGCTTGATTTAGAATAGATCATCTTAAATTCTTGTAAGAAAAAAAAACATAGGGTACATAAACTTTTGACAATGTCCTTAAATGTGTGAACTAAAAATAGTTCTTTTGTCAAGCAACTGTGAATATGCATTATCTTATGACAACAAAACAAGGAGAAAGCTTTTGTGTCTTTCTTTCTGCCAAAGAGTTCTAGCTTAAATTAACTATACCTTTATGTGATGGCATAAGACAAAAGATAAGATACTGCATTAGCATTATCAGCCAAGGGTAATAGAAAGGAAAAAAAATGATGTACAGAGCAAGGAACATAAAAGCACTTAAAACTTTATAAGCAGTATTATTTTACAATCATGCAAGTAGAACATTATCCAAATTTCACATTCCTTTTTTTTTTCCCTTGCCCGGGCTAGAGTGCAGTGGTGTTATCAAAGCTCACTGCAATCTCAAACTCCTGGGCTCAAGTGATCCTTCTGCCCCAGCCTCCCAAGTAGCTGGGACTACAAGTGCGCACCACCATGCCTGGCTAATTTTTTTCTATTTTTAGTAGAGACAGGATCTCGCACTTGCTCAGGTTGGTCTGGAACTCCTGAGCTCAAGCAATCCTCTCACCTACATTCTTATTTCTTAAAACTGAAAAGTCATGCTAGACACTTCCAGCATAGTAGAAATAAAAACTGATTGGACACTTAAAATTCTGATCAAATTTTGTTCAATATTTAGATCATAAGAGGTGTGAATACAATTAAAGAAACCCCTTTCAATGATGAAAGCATCAATAAGATGGATGAGAATCTAACAACCCTCTAGGCTCCAAGGTAACAACTAATGGTATAGATCCAGGAGCAACGCATTACTAACATAACTCCTTCATGAATTTCAGAAATCTTATATAAGATAAGATTGTGAATGAGAAAAGATAATTCCTTCCCAGAAAGGGGATTTTAAAGTTACCAATTCATTACAATATAAAAAAATAAAATAAAATTTCACTTAGAGTTCAAAAAAGTTTTTCATAATAAGAAAATACAAAGTAAAGTTTACACTAGTAAAATTTTTGATTTCATAAGCTTGGCCTTGAGGCAAATTTTTTTCCATTATGGAGAAACAAAATCAATATTTTTACAAGTTCCATATCACTGCATTGAACTGTGTATGTGCTGGTAGGGGGTGGATAAATAATTTTAATGTACTGAGACTTTGTCGTCTAGCTATTATTTAAGCTGTACAGGATTTAGAAATATCTTTCTTGTGCAGGTATTTTCACTGTAATAGCATTTGATATGATATAGTCTGACCTAATAATCTGGCCTCTTCTAAGGATTTATTGTAATTAAAAAGTTAAAGAGGCTATCTGGTGCAGAATAAATCTGTTTTAAGGAGGGAGGAGAAAACAGGCCTTTGTAAATATTTGTTCTTAAGCGTCAGATATTTTATATTCAATATCCTTTCAAAGATTTCCTACCATACTAAAGATTTGAGGTCATTATCTGTATTACAAAGGTGGGGAAGTGGAAAAAACTCCTCAAAAGAATCCAGAAAGCTAGGTATTATTAATCTCCCTCTTCTTTTTTTTAAACAGATGAGGAAAATGAGGCCCAGAAGAGCTAGGCAATTTGTTCAAGGCTATCATGCAGCTATTTAGTGGGGTGGATCAAGATTGAATCTTATTGATCCCTAGAATCCATGCTTTTTCTTCTGAATCTTGCTGCTTCTTACAGCTTCCAAATATTCCCAGATTGTCTTTGAAACTTCAAAGAGCATAAAAGGGTCTCTAATCCCTCAGGGTGGGGAGGACAAGAAATATATATACATAAACATGTATATGTAATTCTCCCTCATCATGAGCTTTCTCTTTAAGCTCTGTTTAGTGCAGCTCTAAGTCCTGTGTCCAAATGCATACCATTAGATTAACTCCGGGAAGGCTTTAAAAGGCCATGGATTCAACAACAGCAAGCAGTGTGGGCAAGTGCTCATGAAGTATGGTGAAATACCTGAGGCCTGTGTGAGAATTAAAAGCACTCACCAAGAAAAAGTCGTTCAGAACAAGCTAGAATACAAATCAGTTCTTAAGGTAAGAAATAAGATTTATTGGAAGGGCCAGCTTAATTTATTGGGAATTCTTTAAAATGCAAAAATTAACAATCTAAAAAATTGATAATGAAAATTCAAACACTGACTCTCAGAAGCCACTAGATAAAGGTTTAGAGTTGAAATGAAACTGAATGTACCTTTCCCACACTATGGGAAAAGATCCCCAAATTTCCTTTTTTAGTACACTGGGTAGTAACAAAGGACAAAAGGTACCCAAAATAATTGGAAAAAAATTATTTATATGAAGAAGTCTAAGTATACAACTAATGATTTTACTTGGAGATGTTCAAAAGTCAGTTAAGTTATCAATACTGAAAAATATCAGTATTATCAAAAAGATAATAGCACCTGGGATTTTCAATGCAGGCCTAGAAATTCACAGTTAAGGAGGAAAGGGAAAAAAATGTCCTGGCAGCTACACTGATATCACCTTCTCAGATCCGCTTAAGTAGTGTCATAAATGATTGAATCAAAAGACTTACTAAAGAAAACTAGTATGAAGGCCTGCCAAAGAAAAATACTGTGCTTCAGTCCAGCATCCCAGTCAACCCAACAGCATCCCTCAGCATATCCCCAAATGGACTCGTGTACTTAGAATAAAGCCTTTTAGAAAAGTCATTACACTTTCTACGCATAGTTAGTAACTACTCTCCTTGACAGAAGGAAAGCTAATGTAGTCCTGTGAAATGTGAATTTTGGACAATAATTTCAAATTAAAAGAAAGCAAAGCAAGCCGTTTCAAACCATAGCATCTTAGAAAGAGACTAGAAAGTACAAACAAAAGGAAGACACCACAGTCCACTAAATAAGAAGCCAAAAAATATGCAATAAAGCTGGCAAGAGCCACTGATGGCTAATCACCTGCGATTTTCATCCAGCACATCCAAGATCTGCTGGTAAGCCCTACGAGTAGAAGACTGGATAAGCGACAAAATGCCACGAGCAGAGGAAAGATTAGCTCCATCTTCAGGTAACATATGGGGAGGACAGACCCGAGCCTGTTGTGGCGATGGTGTCACACTGTTTGCACAAGCACAGCAAATGAAGAGAAAAACACTCAAGTCAGATTTTTATAAAACTTCAGCAGAGCAGTTTTTATCTTAGTTTTCTCAGTTTATCTTAGTTTTCTTGCCCTTTTTTCCCCACCCTTTACTCTCCCCACCAGAAGAAAATAGTAAAACCGAAGAATAAACATTCTGAATTGTTTTCAAAAACTAGCTACAATGTAGCACGTATAACTTTGTAACCCTAAACATCAAAGTAAACGACATTATGAATGAACAACTTTGGAAAAGGAAGAGAACTAGAGCAATGAATGTGTCCAAACCCTAACTTTGAGGCAGCAACATTCTTTACTTAGTGTGTATATTCCAATTCAGTAAACTAAATCTCCAAGAAATAACACTGCAGTTAACTTACAGATGATTAGAAGAGTAGGATAAGGAATTCTGGTATATAGGTGTCAAACTTTAAACACACGAATCAAAAGAGATTCCATGAAACCCCATTTAAAATATTAGTACTTCACAAAGACAATGAAGCAAGCAGAGTTTATGAGTAAATGACATAAATGGCATTGATTTAAAGATGAATTAAAGACTCAGAAAACTAACAAAAGCATGTTGATTGTTTAATTATAGTAAAGCATATGTTCTCTAGATAAATGACTAAAACACAAAACTACTCCCAATTCTGTGAATATGTACAGTAAAAGAAGGCAAGGACACTTCTTAAATTATCAAGATGGCTGATGAGTAATGGGCTTCTCAGTGACAGTAGCATTCCTCATTCTCTCACGTGTGGGTTGAGATTCACAATTTCTTTTGGCTCCACTGCTAGTGCTTCCTGAAAGCTGACCACATTTGAATGAAGCAATTTTTACAGCTCTAACCTAAACTCTTAAGATCTGTGTATTTTCAGAGAGCTTTTTAACATTAGAGCATGATTATCTATGTGAGGTATTTAACTGACATATGGACTTGGCATTTGGTATTTTACAATAAGAGGACTATAACACCAGGATGAAGGCTCAACATTGTCAATGTCAACAGCAAAATATATCAAGCTAAACTTCATCCTTGTGTATTACATCCAAAAGAATAGAAGCAAAGCAGCTGGGAGAAAATTCTTTATTTTGACTGTGTAATCTTTTCTAACTTAACACGTATTTGTTTGGAACCCACAAAATAAGTGGGACAATTTTGAAGGGATAATTATTGTCATCTAATATTATTCCCAGATCTCAGAAAATTAAAAATCAAAACCTTCTCCACAATTTTCTGAATAAATTTGAATGGCTTTATGATTCAAAGAAAGAGGTACAATAAATATGAAAACCATGTTTTCCAAAGACTACTGAGAAGAGAAAGATCCAAGCCAAATCTTGGCAGATTAAACATTACTCTATCAAGCCTGATTCACCATAGGAATTAGGCCTAATGGTGTCAAGATAAACTCAAATTTTCATATGCAGTCTCATGACTAGTGACCCTAAATATCTGTCCAAAGACTGGGAATCTTTGGGAATGTATATAAACCAATGTATCAACTGACCCATGGTACTTGGCAAAACCCATACTGGGCATTCTAGAAAAGTTTAAAAAAAAAAAAAAGCATATTTGGTATATAAAAAGTCTATATGCTAGTCTTGCACTCAGCATTCTCATTAAGCAGCACTGTGAAAACCTGAAGCTCTTGCTGCTTGTGAGAAACAAGACTGAGTCCATATTAAAAAGTATCACCAGAGGCAGGATTTAAAATGGCCAGTTCTGCATCAATATGAATAAACAGTAAATCTTTTTTTTTGAGACAGAGTCTCACTCTGTCACCTGGGCTAGCCATGGCGTCAGCCTAGCTCACAGCAACCTCAAACTCCCAGGCTCAAGAGATCCTCCTGCCTCAGCCTCCCAAGTAGGTGAGACTACAGGTGCATACTATCATTACCACATCTGGCTATTTTTTTCCTATTTTTAGTAGAGACGAGGTCTCGCTCTTGCTCAGGCTGGTCTTGAACTCCTGACCTCAAGCAATCGTCCTGCCTCAGTCTCCCAGAGTGCCAGGATTACAGGCATGAACTACCATGTCCAGCCAATAAACAGTCTATCTTACACTCTTCTTGATAGAGATGCTAGCATACCTGCCTAAATTTACTTAAGTAAGTTTTAAAAGAGTAACCAGTACTTTGTATTTTGGGACTTAAATTGAACACTTTATGTACCATTCTGTGTTAATAAACTACCTACACAGTAATATATTAAAGGGTATAAGAATCAATATTTAGAATTATAATCTTAGGGCAATAATGTCAATGAAGTAAATCCAAATCCAGGAAAAAATGTAATGGATTTCTGCCCATTGCAAATTAAAAAAAAAGAAGGGTTACCTCCTTTGAGAGAAATCCTTTTGCCTGAAACAAATAATAAGGGACTGTTGATTTAAATTCTAAAATTATGAGTATTTTCTGTCTACACATAGGAAATGAGTTGGCCACCTTATAAAATAATCAAGCATAAACTAACTTCAGATTAACTGCAAAGAATTCTTAAGATGAAATGCACATAAGGTTGGATTCTAAAACAATGTATAACATCTCTTCCAATTTTAAGATTCTATGATTACATGAAATTGGAATGTGGTAATAAATGGGAATAAAAAGTCTTACGTGATCCTCAATTATAACTTAAGACAAATGTATAGAAAGATAAAATAAATGTTTTTCAATACTAGTAAAGATACTCATTTCATCAAAACCATATTTAAATTTCTAGTTGTTTCTCAAAACAAATTAAACTTTCAGAGATTAGTAAGAAATTTAAATTTTCATTCATTTATATGGCAATCCCCCATAAATAGTAAAAACAAAAGGGAGTATTTTTTTAAATTAATGACCACTTTTGCCAGTATATGTATAGATTAAATGTCCTTGATTGTTAACATTTATTTCCACCTGCAGATTAAGTGAATGATTAAATCGTAAGATGATCAAAACTACCTTAATAATTAGAAGCAATACATAATTTAGAAATTCTCTTTCTTTTTTTAAGCTGTAAGCAATTTTGTTAAGTGTCTTTTTACAAATAAATTTAAGAACAAAAAAGAATAAGCCACAATTTAGCAATCAGTCTGACACTAACCGGAATGTCCTCCACTGGTATCAACTGTGGAGGGAAACTGCTTTTAGAGTTAGGTTTCATGTCTGTCCATTCATGTATCCAAAAAATGTTTAGTTATTTTTTGTTTTTTTGTTTTTGACAAAAGAACTATTGCAAAAAATAAAAAAGTAAACATATTGCAAAGGCACTGAGAAGATTATTTAAGCAAATGTCATTATATGTATTAGTAATTTAATAAAAATGCACTTTAATGACAAATTGATCCTAGTAATGTTATAAAATAGCAAAATCTCAACTTTACTTTTTTAAAATAAAAGATTAGAAAATTCTGAAGAAAGCACTGATGCTTACCACATTTCATTAGTAATAGCTCTACCTCATGCTTACACAAAATCTTACTGCATAAGAATTAAGTAAACAACACTAGCCAATGTCACAACTAAATTTAAATTAAAATTTACTTGGCATAACTATATCATTATTAAAAGGTAAGTTCAAAGTCAAGTACCTCTTTTCTATGGGTTTCATAGGAATAATGTTTCTCAAACTGTGAGTTTAACCTCTTCAGTGAGGTACCAGCCTCTTCCAAAACACAGTAAAGGTATAACAATAAAACAGAAGAGAAAAAATTTTCACTAAAACATAAATTTTGTATTAACTTCTCTTGGAATTTTAAATAGAGAGAAAACTTTAATATGTTGCCACTATCTAAGGCAATTTACTAGCTCCTAAAAGCACAACAATGGAACCCAAATAAGAGAAAAAATCCTTGGCTATCAGTGTGGTTTCTTCTGTTGCTTAAGAACTATGTTAGCTGTTGAATACTTATATAGCATAGCCAAATGTCCCCCATTACAGGTCAGTCACTCATTTTGTCACACTTACAGAAAGAGTGGATTTAATAATCATAAAAAAAATTCTTCCAAACATAATTTTAATCTATGGAATTATAAAACAACTTAAATGACAAGCCACACTTAGACTCCATTCTCCTTCTGGGTCAAAATAAAAGAAGAAAAGATAGTGTGCTAAAATTTAAAAAAGGATCGGGATCACTGAACCTGATTAAGTTGAATCTGTAGAAAACTAATATGCCAACCAAATCAAAATACAGAAAACAAAAAAGAATGCTTGGTCCTTATGTGCAAATTATTCTGTTTTCCTTTCACCAAACACCCAAAATCATACAGAACTTCCTTAGTTGGTCTAGTTATTTTCTTAGTAAAATGTATGACGACAGTTTGAGAAATCCCGAAACAGAGGCACTACAAAGCCAAATAGTAAGAGAATTAGGGTATTACAGGTCAATTACCTGGCGAAATAGATTAGTTTTAACATAATCCTGAAAATTAAAACGACTCCTACGTGTGAAAAGCAGAGCAGATAAAATCTTACGTGTACTCCGGTGCAGAAATCGGTGCCTGGAACCTTGAAATTTTATTTCTTGGGGCAGAATCTGATCTGTGCCACCTTAAATAATAATTATGCTTCTTTTACATATTCAGCTTTTATAACACAAAGAAAAAGATAGATATGATTCTACTGTTCAGAATTCATTTTTGTGCCAATAGCTGATGATAATCAATCCTGTTGCCCCTTCAAAGTAATTAAGAAAACAAAGGCCAGTGCTTCTGTTCTTATACCTGTTCATATTTCTATTCTTAAAGCCACGGGATAAAATAAAGTGGAGGCAGGCAAAGGTTCATGCACAATAATGCATAACAATCTCACATTACAAAGAAAAGACTAAAGTAGGTACAGACAGCAAGAGTTTAATAATTACTTTAATAAAGGTAAAAATATAGCTGTATTATATTGTTTCTTCCTTACCATATTAACAATAAATATATAATATGCTCATTACACAAAATTCCTGAAGTTAATAAGTTGTGAATTCTTAAAGATGAATTCAATTATAAAGTTAACAATGGTAGAAGAAAGGGCAAAGTTACATTTTTAACAAAAAAATGATTAAGTATCTTACCATACATAACATGGTAAGATACATAACAACCATATGAAAAATATGGGTAATGTTAAACATTTTGCTTTGAAAATGTATAGTTAAAAATTCATGTTACTTTTACTACCAAAAGTGAGATTTTCAAAATATGAGATTTTCAGTTTTATTAAACATCTAAAAAATGCCATGAAGGTAACTTAAAGAAAAAAAAAAGAAAATACTAGCAGTGTTAATCTTTTCTGTTACAAGGAACTTATGTTATTGGGTAAGTGCAAAAGTATCTATGAACTAATTATCTACTCTAGTTCATATTTCACTGGACTGGTTTTCATACATAATAGGGCTGTTTCCTTTCTGTTCAGCTGAATGCAGCAACCAATAATATATACTTTGTGAGAAAAAACAAAAGTGATGATATACTAAAATAATCCTGTATTTACTTTATTAATATGAAATGTCAAAGTAATTAAGGACCTAAACAGTAAGCTACATCTTTACAAAGCAGAAAAGTTTACTGGAAATCTTTCCTACCTTAAAAAAAATTACAAAAAGAAAATAACTAAAGCCCTTAGGTGTATGTTTAATCATTCTGATAGGATACTAAAGATCAAGAAGCTACCTTAGCCATAAACTATGTAGCCTTTCTACCATTTGTATGACACGATTGGAAACAGTCCAGAAAATGGATTTCATGAGTCTGCTGACATCACTGCCAACCAGATACCTTCAGGCAAACACAATTAATCATAAAAAATTTCATATTATAATAATAATAGTTGAACCTTTCAGACAAGTATTCCTTGAAGGAGATATATATTCATTTTAACTTACATTCTTCCTAAATAACCCTTCAGAATAACTGCAGCTACCTTAGGAGACATTTCGAGATTCTCCAAGTAGAGAAATTATAGTTCTCCTTTGCGCCTAACACAGAGAATAGAATTTCAATAAGGCAAGCAAGTAATTTATCTTGAAGTTGGAACTTCACTGATTGATTGAAACACTGACTTCTTTCAAAGCAAGGACAAAAATATAGCGGAAAAAAAAATCCCCTCTCTACCCTCACTGTTATAGACCCTACCCTATCAAAGTCCCTTCTGTATACCTATACTCAGGTCCAAACTAGAATTTAATATGGTATAATATAAATAATATAATTGTATTGTGCTCTAGTCATTTTGTAAACAAAATCGTTTTGTTTTTACCTAGATTTGCTAGCCCTAAGAAGAGATGTATCATCACCTGATTCTTGCATAGTTCCCAGAAACGCTAACATGATGCTTGGCATCACATGTGGTTCATGATGAGTTCATACAAACTGGCCAAAAAATTAATAAGAAATATTAAATTACATAAACAATCTAAATAATTAAAAAAGCCACCATTGCAAATGGCTTTCAGATTTAAAATTCTTACCAATTTCAAGAGGTATTTTATTTGTAAAAATTCATTACTTTTAATAAAACAATTAAAAAGCATTTGCCTGATCTAAAACATCTTGTAGTAGCTTTAAGATCAGGGTATGGTAATATACCCAAATGAGAAAGAAAGGTTTAAACAAATAGTCCTTTACCACATTGACTGCCACACTAGAAAAAAAATTTTTTTTCCTTGGGGCCATGGTATTTTATTATGAAAACAGAATAAAAATTTTGAAAATGAAATGGTCCTCTCTAATTTAATAAAAAAATTGTTATTTTTTATTGTTTTCTGTGCATGTTATATGCAACTTGAAAAATAGTTCATGTGGCTCCTAAGGTAAAGAGACGTGTGAGTTACATATGCTTCACGAAGCCCCAGGCTCAAAACCAGTGTGACTTAACTACAACTCGTGGCAGTTAATGCATTAAACAACATGCTTGTATTTTTTGAAAATGAATGGGACCTAATAATTCAATGAATCAGTAGGTAGAAAGCTAAAAAATACTGGAAAGAGAATGCCACTAGTCTATGCTACATTGTTTACCATAGCTCATTAGAAGCAGAGCTAGAAAGCACTAGTTCACAATCTATGACAACTTAAATAAACTGAAAATAAAGATATTCTGTACTGTATTTTCTTTTTTTATTTTTCAATCTACAGGCTAGTTATACATTTTTAAAGACTGCATATAATTGAGCACTTACATTTATCAATTTGTCTAAAGCATTCTTTATAGATGATTTCCCAAAAAAGCAAATCATACTTACAGAAGAATATCACACACATAGAAGAGGATAGCATTACTGAAATTTTCTCACAACTAACAAAATGGCCAGATTTCAAGACTATAAAAAGTACTCCAAAAATGTAAAACAGATTTTAAAAACTATGGAAAGTAATTATTTAGAAAAAGATGGGTACAGACAACACACTAGGAAAACTTACAAAGGAGATACAATATTCAATAGTTCTACTCACATAGAATCATTCCTGACCAACTGTCCATTTTGGCGAACAGCATTTTCACTCATAGAGCGCTCTCTCTTTAGCCTGCCAACTGCACGGATCTGCTAAGGCACAAAGAAAGGGAAGGAAATAATATATTCTTAGTAGCCTAGTAGCTGCTAAGCGTCAAAAGAACTTTAATCCAATGCTACTCACAAAATTTACAAAGAACATAACCAAGAAAAAGCAACCAAGAATTGCTGCCAGGCATGTGTCTTACAGAAAGATTTGTTTAAAAAAAAAACAAAAAAACCTCTACTTACTATAATGCAGAAAAATTTAGGAATGCCTATGTACTTTAAGATGAAAGGTACTCTGGTTTCTCTTTAAGTATCAATCTTCATACAATTATTATTATTTGTAATTTATATACTTATTTATAAGAACAATTTATAGAAATTTTTAAAAGCACATATATTGTAGGAAATGGAATGTAACTGTACTACAAATAAATGTTTCTAGCTTCTAGGGTTAAAACAAATTCAGATTTGGTTGAATATTTGAAAACTAGACTAAAAAAAGGATCTTTCTAGCTTAATGGTTTTAGCATTCCAGAATGGTCACAATCTCTACTTCCACAATGCTCCTCTTATAAAATGTATCTTTGACCTTCTTCCATTAAGAGTTAGGATCTATGTTCCCTTCCCTTGAAACTGGGGGTTAAAAAAAGCAAGCAAGAAAGAAATTGAGTGGGCTAGTGGCTGCTGTAGAAATGATACAATGTGAGTTTTGAGGCTAGGTCATAAATAACAATACAGCTTCTCCCCCAGTCCCATGTTCCTGGTTGGAACAAAGGCACCATAATGTGAGGAAACCCAAGCAGCCACACAGCAAGGCCAAGTACAGGTGCACCAGCCAACAAACCTAGTGGAGGTCCAAGACAACATCTAGTATCAAGTGACATGTGAGTGGACCTTCAGATGACTGCAGCTTCCAGCTGCTGAATCATTCTTAGCCTCTGAGACTTCCTATCTTAGGCCCCAGACATTGTGGATTAGAAACAAGTTTTCCCATCATGCCCACTGCAAATTCCTAACCCACAAAATCCAAGTGCAAAATAAACAATTTTGTTTATTTTAAGCCACTAAATTTAGGGTGTTTTGTTATATACAGCAATAGATAACTAGGACAGTGGTAATCACTACCTTTCCTGCTTGTTTAGAAACATTTTTTTTTTTTTAAACTAGAAACAGCCATAGCAACTTCATGGTTAAAAACAAATTAAACTTTATCACAAAGGACACCTAGTATGTGAATCAAAGGATCTGAAAATTAAAATTTTCAAAAATACCAATCTATATAGGTGTTTTAAAAAGACTTGGGAGTAGATTAGCAGGTTATATGCACCATCATCAAAGCAGAATACATCCTGTATTTCATGTCAACAAAACTTAAAACCACACTATGCAACCCATAATTTCAGAGCATGGTTTTAATTTGGTTATGGTTATGAACCATTTATTATTGCCCATCTAAACAAAGGGGAAAAAAATAATCTGAAAACAGAGACATCAACTTTGGAGCCTACTGTAAGAATTTTTTAAGGTTAACCCCCAAAATTACCTTTAAGCAACTATATATAAAATATAACATCTCCAAAAACTAAGTGCATTTTATTCACATACAGTGAACAGGTTGGTTTGTGTGAATCCCACGGATACTTGCCTTCCTAACTACTGTAGAGTTGTGGTTGTTTTCCCTACAGTAAAACAGCTATTCTACAGAGCAGGGATCAGGATGACTTGTCTATTAATTCAGAACCATTCCTACTGCTATGTCGTGACAACATTAAGTAGAACAGGAAATGATGGAAGAAAACAAATACATCCATGACTTCAACACAGCCTGAGAAGCTAGAGGATCCTAAGTCTACTGCTATTTTTACCACCTGAAATCCTATTTAAAATATAACATAGACATTGAGCTTGATATTACTGCCATATTGAGGCAAAAAGCAACTATGGGGAGAAGAGTTGAATCAGTAATTGCAGGTTAAAGGGAGAAAACATGGAATAATATGTCAGCAGTGAAGGGATCATGCCCGTGCTAAGAGGGCCATGAAACAGTAGCTATACAAAGAATGTGAACACACATCTCTGAATCTTCCATGGATGAATGTGTTTATACACATACAATTAAGTTGTTCTTTCTTTTTCCTCTTCTCTCCAGACTTTCTGCTCCATGCTGCTCATTGCATTCCCAGATCCTCTTTCCATAGATGAGGGTCAAGGAAAGGGAGTTAAATAAACCATCGTCAAATTGTGATCAGGCCCACATCCATCAGGTTCTTGATTTTCTGAGCTACTGCAGGACCCTTTTAAGTATTCACTAAGTGTCCCGGAATCCTGCATTTGTTTTAGGATGTGCCATACTGCTAGGTGACTTGTAACACTTCAGGTCAGCTATGGTCTTCTGCTTCACATCCGCGGGGTTGTCATGTCAATTGAAGTGGGCCATCTGATTACCATCTGCTGCTTCCTTACAGTAGAATTATAAGTCTAGAGCCTTCTGTCAGATATCCATGGCTTTTGTATTATCCTTCAAGTTCCAAGACTGCTTTCTAAACGTAATCTGTGATGAGGTTGGTTCTAGGTGGATATTATTTCTCCCAATCCTTGAACTCTGGCTGTACACGTGGTACATGATTGTTGTAGAATTTGGCATTCTATGGATGTCATTTGATGGCTTCTGTATAATGCCTGCACAGCTTAGACATAGTACCCTTTCTGAAAATATTCATTGCCTTTTGTTCTTCTCTTCCAAAATCAGGAAGGGGTTTATATAGGCCAATTTTGCTTCTTCCAGATCATTTCTAACTATTGACAGTTCTTGGGTATATTTGGGGTTCAGTGTTCTTCCAAAGATTTATTATAGAAATGGATGGCATTCTTGTACTTCTTTGAAGTAAGAGTTGCCAATTTGGGCAAGAGATCTTACAATCTATCTTTAGATCAATCTGTTTTCTCTTCATATGTCTCACAAAGCTCTTGGCATTTATTGCAGATGATCTTTTCAAAGTGTACTACTGCTTGATTGATAGGATATAATGGTGGAGCCAAATTTTTGACTCAGTCACATTGTTCAAGGCTGTGTCAAATCTTCTTACAGGCATCTTTTTCCAACTCTTTCTTTGCAGTTCTTCTTCCTTGTTCTCTGGCTCCAGTCGGGGCTCCTTTTTGAGAGGAGGAGGTAGTATCAGTGTCACAGCCTCTTCCTAATCAATCATTCACACTGCCCGATCTACCACAAGAACCTTGAGAGTTGTCATGGATTTGAGTATTTTGTAGTTTCATGCCCAGATCACATGGTTTATTGCATAGTTGCTTTATTAGTTCCCTGCAGGCAGAATCACCAAGCAATGGTCTTGTCCTAGAGCTTTCCGAATATTTATAGAAATTAGGCACATTGAAAGGATTCATTAATTTCCTCACTTCCAGCCAAGCCTCCAGATTTTATAAGCTTCTTTGAGCTAGGGTATTACTTATGTCACGTTTTAAGCCTTCCTCATAGGCTGACTTGGGTGTTTTAAGCAAGTTTAAGAACACCAGGTATAGCTGCCTTTTACAAATTTATCATTGCATCAGTCAGGCTTTTAGACAACAATTTTATAGCCTTCCTCATAAGCCTTCTCCTGGTAGTCTCCTTTCTTGACATAGGCCAGTGGTTCTCAGCAGGGGATGATTTTGTCCTCTAGAGGACATTTGGCAGTGTCTGGAGATTCTTTCTTATTGTGGTAAAACACATATAACGTACAATTTACAATTTTAGCCATTTTAAATTATACAATTCACTGGTGTTTAGTACACTCATAATGTTGTACAATCATCACCACTATCTAGTTCCACAACATTTTCATCACCCTAAAGGGAAACCCAATACTGATTGAGCAGTCACTCTTAATTCCCCTCTCCCCCAATCCTCTGGCAGTCACTAATCTGCCTTTTGTCTCTATGGATTTGCCTATTCTCGATAGTTCATGTAAGTAGAACAATGCAATATATAACCTTTTCTGTCTGGCTTCCTTTTTTTTTGAGACAGAGTCTCACTCTGTCACCCCAGCTAGAGTACAGGGGCATCACTGCAGCTCACTGCAACCTCAAACTCCTGGCCTCTAGGAATCCTCTCACCTTGGCCTCCCAAAGCACTGGGATTATAGACTTATATAAGCCACCACACCCAGCCTCATTTTTTTTCTTTCTTTCTTTTTTAACCCCAGCCTTATTTTTTTTTAACGGCTGAATAACGGTTACTACATGGATATATCATATTTTGCTTATCCATTCATCAGCTGACAGACATTTCAGTTACTTCTACCTTTTGACTATTAGAGACATTTTTGATTGTCATGCCTTGGAGGATGCTAATAGCACCTTGTACACAGAGATCAAGAATGTTGTTAAACATTTTACAGTGCTAAAGGACAGCCCTCACCATAACAAAGAATTCTCCAGTCCAAAATGCCAACCGTGCTGAGGTAGAGCAATCTTGCACCCACTACAGAATGATTACTACAGAACAAATGGTTCTGGGGATCCCAGTTTATAGATTCTGAGTAGTATAAGAATGAATCATCAATGTTATCAGGACTCAGGTCCTTACTGCTCTTCTGTTGCTATTTTTAGAAGCTGCTAGAACTCTGGATCTCTCTCCCTCCTTTCTCTCCTACTCATTGGTTGATTGCCTCTTGAGGGCTACCGGACCCTCCTATAACTTTGAAGTACAAACCATCACCTTCGCTTTCTTCTCAATAGGCAGCTGGCACTAATCTCAGAAACTCCTCTCTTAGGTCTCAGGATTTGGCTCCTGCCACAGGATTTTAACTTTTTCATAACAGTAACATTTATACACATTGAGCTTTTAACATGAAGTAGAACAAATTCTAAACATATTGCATGTGTTATTATATTTAATTCTCACAATAATCTTATGCACTTGGCACTGTTCTTATCTTTAGAGGTAACTGATAAATAACTTGTCCAAAGTTATGTGATTAGTAAGTGGCAAGGTAGGCCTTTAAAATTAGGTCTAATTCTCAGCCAGAGTTTTTTACGCCAGTGCTGTACACTCTGGGTATTTATCACATCTGACTATCAAAATTAATGCAGGAGTGAACCCCATATAGTCTTAAAGCCTGGGTCTACTAAGGGCAATCCTGGTAACCTTTTCTTGCTGTAACTAGGCAGAAAGCAAACTTCTCAAAGTAGGAACTACGTCTCATTCATTCTTATATTGTATAGTGTCTCACACATAAAAGCTCAAAAAATGTTTGTTAAATAAATAAAATTCTGCAAATATCTTAGTGCCTTTTGCCATGTAAACACTCAAATTTAGTGCTTTGCACCAAGCAAATATCTAGAATGTCCAACCTAGCTAGGTTACCTCAATTATCTCAGCAGAAACTTACAACCTAAGAAAAGGTCACACTTAGTCCTACAAAATTGCATTGCCCTACGTTATATAGGTGTTTTACCCTCTTTGGAAAGGACTATATGAAAAATGAAATCAGACTCAAGCAGTACCATTATTAGTAAAAACTTCTGCTTACACATTGTCTTATACTAGCCTCATGACAACACATTAGAAGTTCAGAAGCCATACGAGAAAGATGCAACTACAGAAATCTTTTTGGAATTCAAAGAAAAAAAGCTTCAAAAGATAGCTCTGAATCAACGGCAGATGCAAGATTTAAACTATGTTACTAACACCTTTTCAGTCCATATACTGCTATATTTAAGTCAACACGTTATGTGGAAGGCAGCTAACTCAGTGGAAACCTTTCATCAAGTAACAAGAATGTGTAGTATCAAAGCAAAAAGAGCTTTCTTTGCCCTATTTGCCAAAATGATTTTATAACAAAGTGATGCATTAATTTTCTATTGCTAAACTTTTCAACTTTTTCTGTAATCCTTAAATTGTTAACACCTAGCCATAAAAGCTCTTTCTTTGAGACAATGCTAATAATACTTTCCATAAAATTTTCATTTTCCTAAAATATAATAGCTAAATAAAAAGCAACAGCATAACATTTTATTTGGGGTATTTATAAATCAAAATTGATATTAGTCAATATTCCATATGGACAGCTTAATTATATAGTACTAATGTTATGACTTATAGCTTCTTAATGCCTCTCTCAACTTTCCTTTTTGTCTATATTATTTCAAATTCTGCTGACGTGAAAAATCTACTTACTTCTTCATTTTGAGGGGTTGTAGGAGGTCTTTCTAAATCCAGAAAATCTAGTGGTCTTTCACTTAGTGTAAGTACACGAGGTGGTGTTTTTAGTGCCAGAGGTTTAAAGGGAGTTGACTGAATAAGGTCAAGATCTGCTGGTCTTGAAAATGAAATGTCTTCATTATTTCCTAAGAGTAAGGGGTGGGGAGGGGAAGGAAAGGGAGGAGATTTTAAAAAGATAGTGATTTTGTTAAAATATATTTAACTTCTCCCACTTTTGAATTATTAACCTACCCAATAAACATTAGTTTCTTTAAAAATATGCTTTCAGCATAATGATTGACAATTCACTAATATTTAACATTGTGGTGCAGAAATGATAAAGAAATTATGCAACATATAATATATGATGACAAAGAACTAGTACCCGTAATATGTAAAAAAAAAAAAAAAAAAAAGCTTTTAAAACACCCAATTTTTCAAACTGGCAAAACATTTGGGTAGACACTTCACAAACAAGATCTATAAATAGCCAAAAGCACACAGGCAGATGTTCAAAATTATTAACATCAGGGAAACAGAATTAAAATTATAAGATACTACATACCCACTCAAACAGTGAAAATTAAAAAGACTGACAATACAAAAAGTTGGCAAGGATATGGAGCAACTGAAACTCTCATACATTACTGATTGGAATTTAACACGGTACAACAATTTGGTAAATAGCTTGGCAGCTTTTCAAAAAGTTAAATGTAACTTATAATATGATCTAGCAATTTCACTCCTAAAGATAGGAAAACATATGACCTCGCAAAGACTTGTACATGAATGTACACAGTAGCTTTATTCCTAACAACCTCAAACAGGAAACACCACAAATATCCATCAACAAATGAATGGATAAACAAATTATGGTATACCCAAACGGTGAAATATTATGCAGTAATGAAATGGAATGAACAACTGATATCTGCAACAACATGGAAGGATTTCAAAAACATTACACTGAACAAAAGAATCCAGATAAAAGAGCATATATTCTATGATTCCATTTTTATGAAACTTTAGGAAAGACAAATTTAGTCTCTGGTTATAGGAAGGAGATCATGGTTGCTTAGAGTTGTGGGGTAGGGACTGATTGAGAAGGGACATAAGAGAATTTTCTGGGGTAACAAAAATGTTCTATATCTGGACTGTGGTGGTTACATGGGCATACACATTTGTCAAAACTCATCAAGTGTACACTTAAAATGTATATGTTTTATGTATGTAAAACCTCAATAATTAGTTGGATTATTAAAAAATACTGTTTGAGCTGGGCACAGTGGCTCGTGCCTGTAATCCCAGTACTTTGGGAGACCAAGGTGGGAGGATCCCTTGAGCCCAAGAGTTCGAGGCTACAGTGAGCTATCATCAGCCCACCACACTCCAGCCTGGATGACAGAGCAAGATGCTGTCTTTAAAAAAAAGAAATGCTGTTTGAAATTCAGACTATTATAATGAATAAAAATTTCAAAAACATAAAAGTTGAGTTTCCCAACCCCTTTTCTAGATAATATTTTGAAAAACCTAAAAGTTTTCATAAAAATATATAAAATGAAGATTTATCAGGCAACTTTCTAAATAAATGTGAAATACCTGCTACAACAATCCTCTCTGGAACCTGCATTATCACACTAGCATTTGGAGCTCCTTCTTGGAATCCTTGCTCCAGGTCAGCATTTGGTGGTGCTACTTTTAACTTTTCCGGGACCCTCATTCGCTGACTAATACCTTCGGTATATTCCATTTCATACTGAATTCGACTAATTTCCGCCATCTCAGAAGTAGTGGGAGAAGGAAATGCTGCCCCACTCACCCTGTGGGAGAAAAATTTAAAGACAGGGATGATCCAGTATTAAAATGCCAGTCTCCTCTATGTAGTGAAGTTAGAAGACATTATCTTACAGAAAGAGCAAAAGGAAACTTCTCATTAGCAAATACTGAATACATACAAAGGAAAAATAAAAGACTGAAGAAAATATTTTCCTAAACAAAATGCCTTCTTACTTATCAGCCGAAATTGTACTTAAGGATACTGCTTAGGAGCAAATTTTAAAAATTATGTGTACATACACATACACACATACTCTCTCTGCATAAACAAAAATATACATGCTGCTTATAACTCAAAAAATGCCTGAAAAAGAGTTTAAATTAAAATTTTCTAACCTATTTGAGGGAAAGCTGCTTGAACTCTACAAAAATAAAATTAGAAATTGCTGTCATGCATGAAAAAAATAAAACCTTTAAATGATAAAAATCAGACTCACAAGGTAAATAAGGTTAATTCTGAATTTACTAAAAAAAGATGCAACCCCTGAAAATCACATCACAGAAATCAAAACTCTTATTGAATATGTATCTAATGACTGAGATGCAATGAATACCAAATATAAATTTGTTTTAATAAATCCTAACATATGCATTCATTTTTGGAGGAAGTTTTACATTATTAATTTGTATTTAATATCATATTTACATGTATATTTTTTTAAAAGCTTCACATGCCTTTAAAGGGAAAGACAGTACAAATGCATTGGGTAACCTTCTAAATTGGAGAAGGATCCATGATCCCAGTGAAACGCAGTAGAAATAATGTTGCCCCAAAATACAAAATGCCAATAAAAGTGTTAAAGATCATGGTCAGCCTATGGCCATCAGCTTTAAAGCTATTGTCTCTCAAACCTGTAATACCAGCTCAACTGAATAAAATTTCACTGACCTTCCTAGTGGTGTGTCACTGCTTGTTCTTTTACTCATTTTAATACAGTAAATACACGTCTACAATAGCTATTAAAATACTGCTACCCTGTAGTTCAGTTTACTTTACACAACAATTCCCCTACAGATCTGAACTTTTTTTTGGAGGTGTACATAACAACACGGACACTGCTTTTCCAGCTGTAAAAAAGAAAGAATAAAAATCAGTATTTCAACAATTCATTTCATAAGAAAACTATGAATAAAAGTGAATATCTACTTAAAATTATTTTTGGATTTGAACATGGCTTGGGGCTTTGTCTGAGAAACCAATTTTCAAATCTCTCCTGAACAGTTATTTTATGCCTTGAAAATCACAAAGATGGTTTTAAGCATAGCCTGTTTCATGATTGTGCAAGCAGTATAAAGAAAAGCTCTACCAAATGTACATACAAACATGAAGTTAGATTGGAAAAAAACACTGACGTACAACTCTTCTAATCATTATATCCAGAAGGGAAAAAAACCCTTTTTTTTAGACTAAGCACAAATGAGGAAATCACGAAGAGAATGCAAAGGGTAAAAAGTAAATATATTTGAGGTAGCCTAAAAATCTGGTATGTAAGCAATCATTTCTTTAAAAGGAAATAAATTTCAAAAAGCAAATTACACTAAATTTTCAGCAAACGATATTATATATAAATTAACGGCAATAAAAAATTAAAGAAAGTAGAAATGTCTTTATGATAGCGGGTATATTTCCTAAACTCCATGACAGAGATGTAGTCTGAATCTGCAGCCTTAAGGCCACATGTGGCCTTCTAGGTCCTTAAGAGTGGCCTTTTGACCGAACTCAAACTTTACAGAACAAGCCCTTCTATTAAAAGGGGTGCAGCAGAAAAACAAGACGCTTTTCTTGCCTCCTTTGGTGCTTAAAAAAGAATAATCTTGAAATCAGAAGGCCACAGGTTCCTCACCCCTGGATCCTTAGGAGAGTTCTTAGCGGTTGGTTATCCTGCTAAGTCCTGACAACTGGTTTGATAATCACTGCTAACTAGTTTCTTTTATTCTTTACCAAAATGTCTTTGGGGACATAAATCTTTAAGGATTTGGCATGCAGATGATTTAAAGACTAATAGAGCCAAAAGAGAAAATTTTTACTCACAAATGTGTACCAACTACTGCTTGCTATTTGGCACTATCTGCTTCTGTGCTTCATATTAAATCCTTTAACTTGCTTCTATGTGCATGTGCTGGATTTAGAGCCACTTTTGTCCCTGGGGGAGAAAAACGGGCTAATTGAGAAACTAGAATGTACTCGTATTAGGGATTCATTGTTGGGAATTCTCAAAATGGTAACAGTAACAAAGACACACATCACATTAAGAAACCAATAAAAGAATTAAGAAAGAAAAAATTAACAAGTTTACCACCGATCTTAGTCCCACAAATAAGGCCCTGTAACTATTCATTAGGTAACGCAATATAAAATAAAAGACTAAGTCTGTCACTCTTTCTGAATTGTATTTAGAAAGATGTAACATATGAAAAATATATCCATTTAAATCAATCTAATACTTATGGGCATGTACACATACATACACACATATATATTGAGGAACAAATGCATTGGTTAAATTTTCATTGACTTAAAATGTTTTTAATTTTGAACAAGTACTGCATGCAAATGGTACAAAATACATTAAGAATATACAGAAAAAATGGAAGTGTCCCACCCAATCCAATCCTCAACCACCCAGGTCCCCACAGGCAACATCTATTACCAATTTTTTTTTTTTTAATTTCAGGGTATTATGAGGGTACAATCATTAAGGTTACTTACACTTTATGTCTTTGCCTCACCCGAGCAAGGGTTAGAGGCATGCCCTTCCCCCCTACAATGCTTCCCATGTCCTTTAGTTGCAGGTTTACCCCCCCCATCTCCCTAATCCCTGGAGACTATTACTGCCATGTGAGCCCCCTAGTGTTCATCAGTTAGTACCAATTTGATGGCGAGTACAAGTGGAGCCCATTCTTCTGATCTTGTGGTGCCTCACTTTGGATAATGGGCTTAAGTTTAATTCAGCAATACGATCAAATTTTGTACATCATTCTAGATGAGATGCTCTTCTATCACTTGTGTGTATCTAAAGCATAGTAAAAACTTGTATTTAAGAAAAAAAAAACACTGAAAAGAGCTATGTTAAAAACATTATAGCCTTGGGTCATTATAAATTGAAGTTTTATAATAATACAAACAAGAGAAGGAAGTTATTAGAGCCACCTCATCTCCTTGAAATGTGCTGTTCTCTGCATTCCATTCATTGCATTTCAGTCTTCTTAATTTTTCGTTAGTATATCTCATAGGTCTCAACATTTTATTGTATAGCAACTTATTTTCTCGTGAAAATCCGAATTTGTCAACAATCATTGACTTAGAATATAAAGGTGGACACTGAAAAGCCAACTTCTGGGAAAAGCTAAATTCACCTGTAGCTGAACTACTTAAATTTAAAAAGTAAATGGAAATTTTCTATTAAGATTTAACACTGTACTGTCCCCATCATTGGGTTTTCTGCTTAAGTAAAACAGATCAAAATCTCCCTCATTAGACTATAAAGTTTTTGGTAATATCTTTTGGCAATAAGTAAAATAAACTTCTCATTTGAGGTTAAGATTTTAATTCCAGAAATTCTGTCATTTAGAATCTAGTAGGTACCGAGTACATGATTCTCCATTACATAATTAACTAGACAAAATTTCTCTTAGAATGAAAGATGATTTCAGATCTCTACTTTCTTTTTTTTTTTTCCAAGAAAAAGCATGAAGGAACAGATCTCTACTTTCTAAGCCCAGTGGTTCCCAAACATAAGTAACTCATTAACTTCATGCTTTTTAGCTATATTCACAGAGTACATTTACTCTTAGCTACACATAATTTTTCTTTAACTCAACTTAAAAAAAATGTAAATAAATGTATTTTAAAAGGAAATTTTATATCACTACCTCAAGCCATAGACTTGATGAACATATATAAATACACATAAAAACATAGCTATTACAAAAAACTCTCACCCACATACCAGCTAGAGTCAAGTCACATCTCACTGGTGGATAGTGTACCAATTTGAGGACACAATGATTCAAGCCCAACTTTCTCCTTTTCTATATAAGAACACTTAGAACCCAGAAAGCCTAGGAAGTCACAGAAACAACTAAGTTCATATTGATTGTGGTTGCAAAGATTTTATATAATTCTCCAATAACAACAACAACAAAAAAATCTCCAGTTCTTTATCACTTATTATGTGGACCTAGGTCAAGGTTTTTATACAGGTCACCCTATTTCAGTTCTCTTTCCAAGCAGCTACACTTAAGTCACTGCAAACTTTGAAAAATATGTATTAACGAACTTTAAAATAAAGTTATGAACCCACAAAAAGTTTCAACACAGAAGAGAGGACAGCAACAGCTAGACGGGGTAATCTTAAAAGGAGGCAGCTCTATCGGACAGGAAGGGAGAGAACACAATTTCCTTTTGGAAAGAACAGCAAAACCAACTCACAAGCCTCAGAAAACAAGAAGACAGTAAGTCCCCAAACAATTTAATTGCATGGGAAAACACTAAGTACAACTAAATCGTCCTAATTTTCCTAAGGGTTTTTTTTTTCGGGATCTCATTAGCCACCAGAATTGAGGCAGAAACAAATGTTTTTCACCCAGGGAGAGAAAACATTCAAGACCATTCAGAGTGTCTTCGTGGGTGAGAGGCCTGGACACAAATGGTTCTATATTTGGGCACAAGGGCCCCCGAAAGGTTTTCTTTTTTATCTTCTGCAATTAAAAGACGCCACCACTTTTGAAAGGGTGCTCTTCCCTCGAGAATGTCCCTGTTCTAACTCTGTGGAACGCAGCCCGGGCTTTTCTTTAACCAGAGGACTCATCCCGCAGACCAAGGTCAGAGGCCCTTTCCTTCAGCTTCCCCGTTCCTGGAAGGAAACGCGAGGAGAAACTGCCTGCATCCACACTTGGGAGCAAGGATGCTTACAGACCGACAGGGGTCTCCCTGGTGGCCCGCAGTTACCCGCGATGCCACAACCCGGTTCCAACAAGGCCTTTCTTTTCGAACCCTTATTTTCCAGAAAACTAAACAAAAACCTACTTTTAAAACGGCAGGCTTAAAGGTCATACCGTAAGGTGTCAGGGCCGGGAAGGATGAGTGAAGACAACCAGCAAAGCCCGGCGTTAAAGCTCACAGGACTTTCCTGCCGTTTCCCAAACCCCTAACTATTTTCTAGTCGGGAAAGTCCGAATTAAACCACAAAATGAGATACCGAACTACAAAGAGTGAAGAAGTTAGTTCAAAAACATTTGCAAGAGAGAGCGCTTCTCTCCCTCGGTCTCCCCGGGGACTCAGAGGGCGGCAAGGTCCTGAGGAGGAGGAAAGGCTAGGGTTGAAGGCGAGAGGTCCGGGGGACGGTACTTCGGCCAGGGGGTCACCACGGACGGGCCAGGGCCACTGCGGGTCCCTCCGTCCGCCGGAGGGTCAGGGCGGAGGCGCTAGGCCTGGCGGCCAGCTGGGGCCGCGCGTCCCGGGTCAGGAAGACATCAAAACTCACCCCTAGGCCCACTGGAGGGTCGCCGGCGCGGGCCGCCGCCTGCCGGCTCCCAGGGCGCTCGGGTGAGCGCTCTCTGAGGCCGTTGGCGGAGCGCACCGAGGCGCCCAGGCAAAACCGGCGGAGCTGCCCGCAGCTGGCCGGGAGAGACGCGAGAACGCCCGGGGCTGACCCCTTCCAGTAGCCGTAACGGAAGCCGATTCGTGGTCATGTGACGCGGGAAAGGGCGGACGTGCGGCTCACGCACAGGAGTAGGGGCCAGGAGACGGCACTATGGAGCCATCTTTGTTGTGGGCAAAGGGCGCGGACCGCTGGTATTAGCTCTGCGGTACTTAAGCTGGATTCATGCTTATCCTTTGTAGAGTTCATGGTGTAGAGGAATCTCGTATTTACAAGGTAAACCTTCGGTAGCCAGTTAAAATAACTGTTTTTCTGGACCATCTATGTCAAAATTTCTATAGTGTAAGGCCTAAGAATCCTTATAGTTAACAAGCTCCTCTAGCGATTCTTATGCACTCCGATTTTGATTATTCTTTAAGCCCTCTAATTATCAGGCATTGTTTTACAGGGTGAGAATCTGGGAAGAGGGGAAGTTAGGTTTCACAGTACTTGTTTAGCGTCCAGAGAGCTCTCTCTGAGTCTAACCACCTAACTATTGACTCTCCCCTATGGAAGCTCTCGGGCTAGAGCAGGAATCCAGGGACCGACGGAGGCCAAATAACAGAATACTTTATATGCCTCGATTTTCACAAACAAGCCAACAAAGATACACATATGAGTTATGTACTCCTCTAGTGTCTAAAGATATTCCATTGATGTTGCCATTCTTCCAAATAATTTGGAAAGCCCTCTGAATTGCGTTCTTGAGCCCCTTCTTAATAGTGTAGGGAAAGGAAACTATCTCCTTTACCTTCTTGGGATCTAGGCTGGGCCTAAGAATTAAACCGATATAAAATGGATTAACAAGAGGAAAGCATACAAATTTTATTTAGTAACTTTTCCGTGTACTCTAGAGACTTCACTAGAAAAATGAAGACCCAAAGAAGCAGTCAGGATCCAAAGCTTATATAATAGGTTGGACAGAATAGAAAATTGTGAAAATATGAGAAATATGAGAAAACAAAGGGCTTTGGGTTAAGGCCATTAACCGTGAGAAGTGACTAGGAAGATAAGGGTTAGTTTAACAGAGTTGGTTTGTACAGGTATCTCTTGGCATTGACTCCCTGTCTCTGGTGATAAGAATATCTTCCTCCTGGTACAGAGAGGGCCCTTTGTACATGGGCATTTTCACCCCCTGCCTTCAAGAAGAAGAAGGAAAATCAGAATGTTCTTGCATCTACTTTTTTTTTTTTTTTAAGTGCCTTTGACTCAAAATAATGTTTATGCTAAAGTGGCATATTTTGGGGTAGCGTATCCTACAGTGACAAATCATCCTTTAAGAATTGATTGATTTTAGAAATAGTCATTCCAAGTCAACATTTTGAGAGAAGATTGAGATCAAGCTGGGTAAGCCATCTATGATAAAAACCTTTAGAAATGAGGTTCCTGCTGCTTCCACTAAACCTTTCACTCATTAATTACTTGCAATTTGGTTTTTATTCCTGTCCTCCCCCAAAGAAAAACCATTTTGAAATAACTTTAAAATGAAGATTGCGATCCAGTTATCAAACCCAGTATCTTCTCCAATAATCGAGATCATCCTTTATCTTCCTGCATCATTTGATTCTGTTAAATTAAATGAGACAGAGAATTGTACCTGAAAGTACCTAACGCTGTCTGGTAGTAGATTCTCAAAGGGGAAAAAAAAGCATTTTCTCTCCCTTACATGGGATCTCTACTCCTTGTTTTTTGCAATATAGATTCATGGCGGGTTTTCCTTCTCTAAATGAGCACATTTGTTAAGTCTCACCCTGTTGCATGTATTCAAGCCATTTCCACTTGTGTCCCATTGGAGCTTTGATCTCAACAGGGTTTTAAACTCAAATTTTTCCTCCCTCTCAATCCAGACACCTGCTGAATTCCTTTGTTCCAGTTAATGAAAGATTATTTTTGCAGTCATCAAGGTTCAAAATACTGAAATTATCTTTCACTACCTCCCAAATACCTTGCGATGGTTAATTTTAGGTGTCAACTGGATTGGATTAAAGCATGCCCAGACAGGTGGTAAAGCAGTATTTATGGGTATGCCTGTGAGGGTGTTTCTGGAAGAGATTGGCATTTGAATCAATGACTGAGTAAGGAAGATCCTCCCTCACCGAATGTGGGCTGGCACCATCAAATCAGCCGAGGGCCCCTAGAGACCAAAAAGACAGAGGAAAGCGGAATATGCTCTCTCTCTTCTGAAGTTGGGACACCCATCTGTTCCTGCTCTTGGACATCAGAACTCCAGATTCTCTGGTCTTTGGATTCTGGAACTTGTACCAGCAGCTCCCCAGTTTCTCAGGCCTTCGAACTTGGACTAAGCTGTGCTGCCAGTTTTCCTGGTTCTCTAGCTTGCAGATGACCTATGAGAACTTCTTAGCCTCCAAAATCATGTGAGCCAATTCCCACAATAAATCCCCTTTCATAGATCTACTTATCTATCTTTTGTCCATCCATCCATCCTATTTGGTTTGTGTCTCTGGAGAACCCTGACTAATGCATCCCCCATCCTTTGGATTTTCCCCCTTCAATGCCAGCTGTCTACTTTATCTGTCCTTTCTGTTCCAACTGCTAGATGATTACCCATCATCTGAGCTTCTACCCCTTTAACTGGCATCCCCATCTCCAATCTTTTTCTTTCTATATTCCTAGACATTGTGTCTACAAAGAGCCTATTTTTGCAAATTGTGACATTCCAACTATGAAGCCCAGGTTTAAAAGAAATAGATGACTTATAGTTATCTACAAATCCAAAAGTCCATAGCAGCAATCCAGTAATTTTTAAAAACACTTGAAATTATGAAATAGCCTGGCAAGTCAAGCATATTATTATAAATATTGGATCTTCCGGGTTATCATTTATATGATAATTCCACTCTTTTGCTCAGATCTTTACTGAATCTGTAATAGCAATCAATGAAACACAAGTTCAACCTGGTAAACTCTCCCTAACATAGTCTTGACCTCCTATAATGCCACTTTATTTACCACTGTGTGTGTGTTTGTGTGTGTGCATAAATACATATCATATATTCTTGACCATTAATTTTTCCCTGAGATTGCTTCATTCTTGCCTAACTACTTACCTTGATTCATGCCATTCCTGCCACCTGGATTGCCACCCTGCCTCTGACTATCTTCTGCTTCTTGAAATCCTAAGTGCCCTTAAAGGACCACTTAAAATGTCCCCTCTTTTATGAATTATTTTCTGAGGCCTCCAACTTTTGGACCACTATTTATTGTCTCTTATGACACTTACCATGCTCTGTCCAGTATTACAATTATCCATGTATTTGTCTTGTTTTCCCATACCAGATTGTAAACTTCATGTTTATGAAGCAAATATATATACTTCATATATATCTCACTCATCTGAGTATACGCTGTGAAGCCAAACATAGTGAGCATGTTGTAGATCTTGGATATAAAGTAATGAAACCATTTCCTAGTTCGACTCACATATTGGAATTGAACATAAGTCCAAAGCAATAGTTCTAAAAAGCTTTTGAGCAATGCCAACACTTTCAGAAAAATCATATAGTATGCAAAATCCTGGGAAGAATCACATTTATCTGAATGTATATGTGCTACTGAAGAGAGCACAACACATTTATCTGAATGTTTAAATGTAGCCTGGTTATTGAAAATCAGTTACCTTTTCCTCTGTTTGCTTATGTGTTAGTTTCCAATAGCCAGAGCTGGGATTAGGGTGAGATGAGTTAGGACGGTGCTTAGGGCAGAAATTGAATGAAGCACTCACTCTTCCGTCAGTGCCCTGCCAATAGGTTGCTAAGAATCCATTAGTGACGGATCAAAATTTTTCTTTCCAAACAAGCTTGTAAGTAGAGAGAAAGAGAATGTGCTCAAACACAGCATTCATTCTCCTACTTACCTGCAGTAAAAAAAAGTTCATTAAAATAAGTTCATTAAAATGCATTTTACTCAAAGTGTTTTCAAATTAGATTATGTTGGTCCAATTATGAGCATGTTTCTAAAACATTTGTGTGAGCAACAATTTTCTTGGTCTTCTAGAATTATTACCCAGGATCACTGTTTTTTCATTCCATTTCTTTCCTTGATTATATCTTTTTTGTCATTTAATACAGGCTGAATCTCCCTTTGAGATTTCATATTTTCTATATTAAAAGCATTCTTCTTTACCAACTATCTACATTTGAAATTTTATGAATTGTTTTCTTTGAATAGGAGTATTTGTATTATAAATAGGAAACATTTATCAAAATATATAACCCATAATTTCTCTAATCTATTTGCTTTCCTTAGTGATTTATAAAAATTCCTTAAACACCTCAATAGAAAAATGAGCAAAGATACGTGATTAGGCCCTTCACAGGAAAGCAAAAGCAAACACTCATAAAAAAAATGCTACTTAAAAAAATACTATTTAAAAGTGGCAAAGGTTTAGCCTCACTGATAATGAACACAATGTAAATTAAAACAATGAGATAGGCAAAGATGTAAAAGAATAGCAATATTCATTATTGGTAAAGGCATAAAAAAATAAGTGTTTTCATTACATTGTTGATGTAGCTGAACATTCTAATAACCTTTCTGGAGAGCATTTTTGTGTATACCGTATATCAAAAGCCTAAGATTGTGTGAATCCTTCAATTTTACTGTTTTCCATGTAGAGATTTATCCTGAAAAAATAATTGAACAAATGTGATATGACATAGGAACAATTATTGAGGATTCACTGACTTATGTTACAAACCCATTCAATGGACGATGGTGCAAATGATGGTTAGTTCTTGGCTACTGATGTGAAAATATGTCCACAGTGTATTAAGTTAAAAAAAAATCTAGTGACAAACAGCATGCTTTTATCTCATTTTTGTTTAAAAATATATTTATTGGGAAAAAAATATGGAAGGGAATATACCTTAATTTAACAATATTGTTGGGTGAGGGTGAGGGCTAGATCATGGCAATTTTTATATTCTTCTTCATAACTTCTGCATTATCTAATGTTTTTACAGTGAACATCTGTTTTTACAATCCAAAAATAAATTATCTCCATTTTGAAAAAAAGAAGACCAGTTACAATTTTTTCAATTTTATTCTTAGGC